AAATTATTTTATTTTATTTTATTTTAAAAATTGGAAAAACCGAAAATTGTAAAATCTAAATATCGCGAAAATGAAAAATTGTAATCGATTTTTCACTTTTTCGATTTTTAATTTTTCACTTTCTTGATATTTCGAGTTTAGAATTTTTGGTTTTTCCAGTTTTTCAATTCGATTCGTTAATTTTTTCGATTTTTAGTTTTTCAGGGTTTCAATTTTACGTTTCTTCAGTTCTTCGATTTTCAATTTTTCGTTTTTTCAGTGTTTTCCATCCTTAAGTTTTTCTTTGATTTTTCAATTTTTCGGTATTTTGGTTTTGAGACTTTTCAATATTTGGATTCTTCAATTTTTCGATTTTCCGACTTTTCGATTTTTCGATTTCTCGATTTTTTACTTATCCGATTTTTCAATTTTTCAATTTTTTTTTGATCTTTCAGTTTTAGATTTTTCGGTTTTCCAGTTTTTTGATTTAAACATTTTTTGATTTTCCGACTTTTCAATTTTGACGTTTCTAAATTTGCTATTTTTAATTTCTCAATTTCTGGAATAAATGATTTTTTGGTTTTTCAACTTTGATCTCTGGACTTTTCGTTTTCTCGATTTTTCAATTTTTGGATTTCTCAAAATTTGTTCGATTTTTCAATTTTTCGATATTTCAGTTTTGGGACTTTTATAATATTTCTATTCTTCAGTTTTTCGATTTTTTACTTCGATTTTTAAATATTAGAGTTTTCAATTTTTCGTTTATCCAATTTTGTATATTTTAATTTTTCTAATTTTAAAATTCATATTAAACTTGGATTCTCGAATTTTCAGTTTTTGGATATTTCTATTTTTCAGTTCTTTGGATTTTTAAATTTTATATTTTTTCATGTTTCTAAATTTTAGATTCTTCGATTTTTCAGGTTTTTGGCTTCTCAATTTTTCCGCTTTTTAATTTTCGATTTTTCGATTTTTCGATTTCTCAATTTTTCAATGTTTCAGTTTTATGAATTTTCAATTTTTGGACTTTTGGAATTTTTTCAATGTCAGTTTTGGGATTTTTTTAATATTTCGATTCATTATATAGACGATTTTTACTTTTTCAGTTTCGAAATTTTAAATTTTTCAATTTTTCAAAATTTCGATTTTTTAAATATAAGATTTTGTAATTTTTCGATTTTTTGATGTTTTCATTTTTAAAATACTGCACTTTCGGTTTTTCCGGTTTTTCGGTTCTTCCATATTTCGATTTTACAATAATTAGAATTTTTAAAATTTAGATTTTTAAATTTTTCAGTTTAAGTTTTTCGTTTGTTCAATTTTTAAATGCAATGTTTCTAGTTTTCATTTTAAATATGTAATAATAATTATAATTTAAACAATTCTTGACTTTATTTTACGATTTTTTGAAGATTTTTCGTTTTTTAAATTTTAGATTTTTCAATTTTTCAATCTTCTTGATAAATTTCCGAATTTTCAGGTTCTCGATTTCTGTAATACTTAAATAATCGGTTTTTCACTTTTTCCATATTTCGATCTGTAATTTTTGCTTTCTATTTTTTCCAAATTTTTGTTTTTCGACTTATAATTTTCCGACATTTCTAAAATATGGAAAAATACAAAATTATAAAATTGAAAATTTCAAAATGAAAAAGGAAAAAGTATAAATTGAAAAATCCAAAAAATAGAAATCGAGAATTTGAAAAACTGAAGAAACGAAAAATTCAAAAATCGAAAAATAAAATGTGTCGTAAAATGGAAATATTCACAATTAAAAAAATCGGAAAATCCTTATTTATGAGTATTTTTGGGGGAAAAACTGAGTGTGGCTAATTAATTAAGTCATTTCATTTTACCACTGATGCTTGTAATCTGAACGTGCTAACAGTCGAATTTTTACGAAGTATAAACATAAACAGTCGAAGTTAAGCATGTATTCAGGCACTGAGAAAATATTTCTATTCTTCAGTTTTCGGTTCTTCGATTTCTCGGTTTTTTACTTTTTCGATTTTTACATATTAGATTTTTCAATTTTTCGATTATCCCATTTTGGATATTTTGATTTTTCATGTCTTCAATTTTTCGGATTTTTATTTTTTTATTTTTTCAACGTGAAGTTTTTCAATATTAAATTTTTTAATTTTATTTTTATTTCTATTTAAAGTTTTTCAGTTTCTCGTTGTTTCAGATATTCGTTTGTTCAATTTTTCATTTGCAATTTTTTTTCTAATTTTCATTTTAAATATGTTATAATAATTGTAATTTAAAAAATTTTTCACTTTTTCAATTTTATGATTTTGGAATTTTTTTGATTTTGCAATTAATTATTGGATTGTAACATGTTTTCATTTATTCAGTTTTTCAGTGTTTCAATTTTTCGTTTCTTCAGTTCTTCGATTTGCAATTTTTCCATTTTCCAGTTTTTTCCAAATGTTTCAACAAACGAAAAACTGAAAAATCGAGATACTGAAAAATTTTAAATTGAAACAACGAAAAATTTAAAAATTGAAAAATCCAAAAATTGAAAAATCAAAAACATTGTAAAACCGACAGACTGAAAAAAATAAAGAGAATAAAAATTCGAAAAATTGAACAAACAAAAATTGAGAAATCGCAAAATCGAAAGATCCAGAGTCGAAACATCAAGGAAAAATCTAAAATTTAAAACTCGCATAAGTAAAAAATCCAGAAATCGAAGAAAAGTCGGAAAATCGAAAAACTGAAGAATCGAAATACTGAGAAATCTCAAAACTAAAATACGAAAAATTGCAAATCGAAGAAAAACTAAAACACTGAAAACTAAAAATCAAAAAAATTACAAAATTGAAAAAAAATAATGAATCGATTTTTCAATTTTTCAATTTTTTTTGATGTTTCAGTTTTAGATCTTTCGGTTTTCCAGTTTTTTGATTTAAAAATTTTTTGATTTTCCGATTTTTCAATTTTTGACGTTCCTAATTTTGCTATTTTTAATTTCTCAATTTCTGGAATAAATCATTTTTTGACTTTTCAACTCTTTGATCTCTGGTCTTTTGATTTCTCGATTTTTCAACTTTGAATTTCTCAAAATTTGTTCGATTTTTCAATTATTTGATATTTCAGTTTTGGGATTTTTTAAATATTTCATTCTTCAGTTTCTCGATTTTTTACTTCGATTTTTAAATATTAGAGTTTTCAATTTTTCGTTTATCCAATTTTGGATATTTTAATTTTTCTAATTTTAAAATACATATTAAACTTGGGTTCTCTATTTTTCAATTCTTCGGATTTTTAAATTTTTAATTTTTTAATTTTTTCATGTTTCTAAATTTTAGATTCTTCGACTTTTCAGGTTTCTAGTTTTTCAATTTTTCGGCTTTTTAAGTTTTCGATTTCTCGATTTTTCAATTTTTCAATGTTTCAGTTTTATGAATTTTCAATTTCTGGACTTTGGAAATTTTTTCGATGTCAGTTTTGGGATTGTTCAATATTTCGATTTTTGTTTTTTGAATTTTTCAAAATTTCGATTTTTTAAGTTTTCAATTTTTAAATTTAAGATTTTGTAATTTTTCGAATTTTTGATGTTTTAATTTTTAAAATACTACACTTTTGGATTTTCTGATTTTTCAGTTCTTCGATATTTCTATTTTACAATATTTAGGATTTTTAAAATTTAGATTTTAAAATTTTTCATTTTCTCGATTCTTAAGTTTTTCGTTTGTTCAATTTTTGAAATGCAATTTTTCTAGTTTTCATTTTAAATATATAATACTAATCATAATTTAAAAAATACTTCACTGTTTTAAATTTACGATTTCTGAAGATTTTTTGCTTTTTCGGATTTTTAATAAGGAAAAAAAAATACAAAATTATGAAAAATTAAAAATGAAAAAGTATAAAATTGAAACATCTAAAAAATAGAAACCAAGAATTTGAAAAACCGAAGAAACGAAAAATTCAAAAATCGAAAAAGTGTAAAATCGAAAAAATAAAATGTGTCGTAAAATGGAAATCGTAAAAATAAATCGGAAAATCCTTATTTATGAGTATTTTTGGGGAAAAAACTGAGTGTGGCTAATTAATTAAGTCATTTCATTTTACCACTGATGCTTGTAATCTGAACGTGCTAACAGTCGAATTTTTACGAAGTATAAACATAAACAGTCGAAGTTAAGCATGTATTGAGACCCTGAGAATATCTACACATCGAGCCGCCCCTGCATTCCACTAATCTAATTTTGATAAAATATGTCCGCCTGTCCCCAAAATCGCCCATTTATATTCACAAATCCCCATCCATTCCAGGTACAATCTGTCCTCGCCCGACTAAAGAGTCATTGAATTTTTGCGGACGCCAGTTTATTCCCAATATTCCCGAAAACCGATCTTTTCTCTCAAAGGGTCTGAATTTTAATCAAAGCATAAGAAACTCGATCGGTCCTCCGAGATTTCAAGGAAAGGAACGCCCCACCATTTCCAACCCGACAAAACAAAGCCGGTCGACAAAAATCGCGTAATTATCAGGACAAACGAAAGCAATTAAACCGTTTTTAAATTATGCAACTCGACCAAAGTAAGAGTTTAATAAAAATTCGCCCGTTTCAGCAATCCGTCGATATCGCCACCTCACCTCGCGAAAAAAACAATTAAAAGAATTAAGAAAACGACAGTGTAGGTGTGCACTATAGGAAATTACGGTGGCAATTACGGAAATGGGAGCGCTTTTTGCGACGACGTAAAACGCGAAAATCGCAAAATTACAATACTTCACACCTCCCAATCCGGAAACGCGGCACAATGTCGCGGAATGAAACCGTGCAGCGGCTTTCGATAATGGCTTAATTGACTTTAAACGAAATCGCTAAATTTCCATTTCGAAATTAATTAGAACCCGGAAGATGAAAAGCGCGAAACGATTTAGTTTGCATTGTAACCGCGCGGCCTTGAACCCGCAACCACGCAAAAATCCGTGCGTATCTCTGGTTGCCTACTTGATTCAGTCCGACTGGATTGAGTGCTCTTATCTTGTTTGATTGTTTCAGATTTGATTAAAATGTGAATCTCTAATGAGGCTCGAGTGAACACAATGGAAAATCAATTGTGGAAACGAGAACTATTCACCACTTGGCATAAAGATCAACATGGCGCTAACAAATGGCCGATTCTGAGGAGTGCGAGGTCGTCGGCGACCCCTCCGGGGGACTATCCGGCGGCTCCCACGGGAGAGACCTTCAAGGAGTACGTGGTGTCGGAACAAACGCCGGGGGATTACCAGGGGCATGGTGAGTAGGGTAATGAATGGGGGGTGTTCTGGCTGTGTTCCGAAATCCGACAAAAAACTTTCTAAATTATGTATGAATCGATCAAAGTTACCCCATTTTTGTCCCATTGTGTTACTGGCGCACGACCTGTGAATTTTCCGCTCCGAGTGTCAGGTATTAATAAGCATTGGGAACTGTCTCACATCGCATTCCTTTAACTTCGCCCGAATTCCAATTCGGGTTTATTGGGCCGAAACGAAGACAGGGGATGGCGGAATCGGATAAAGGGCGGTCTTTCTGTCCTGGTTCAGGTATCCATCAGGGAGTTCTAATTAATTCCCTCAGAAAGTGTTTTTAAAATTAAACAGTGAAAGTTCTAAAATTTAAAATTCCCTCTAGATATACTTACATTAAAATTGGTAAAATACCTAATTCTAAAGTTTATTCATTTATTTTCCAAAAAGTTAAACTTTGAAAGTTTTAAAATCTAAAATACTCTGTATTAAGGGGATAAAATTGTTGACAGTCATTAAGAAAACGGACATTTTTTTCAATCTTTACCAAAAATATATAACTGCAAAATTTCCTTAAAAAAACATGGGAATATCGATAAATCGAGAAAAATCGAAATCCAGAAGCTGAAAAATTCCCGAATTTGAAATGTTGAAAAACTGAGAAATCGAAAACTTGGAGAAATCGTAAAATCGAAAAATTGAAAAGTCGAAAAATGTAATATTGAAAATATGGAAAAATGGAAAAATCAAACTGAAAAGTCGAAAATTTAAAAGTTCGAAAAATTGAAAATTAGACATCGAAGAAATGAAACATCGAAAAATATAAAAATCGAGAGAGGGAAATCAAAAAATTTTAAATCGAAGTATCGAAAAACTGAAAACTCCAGAAATTGAAAAGTCGAATATCGATAAATCGAGAAACTGAGAAATCAGTATATTTTAAAAATTGAAAATTTTAAAAACCGAAATTCGAAAAGTCTAAAAATCGAAAGACTGAGCGATTGAAACATCAAAATATCGAAAAATTGGGCAATCTAAAAATTGAAAAATTCTCAAAATTGAAATGTTGAAAAACCAAGAAATTTAAAAATCGAAAAGTCGAAAAATTTTTAAAATCGAATTTCAAGAAATCAAATCAAAAAATCCTAAAATCGAAAAACTGATAAATCCAAAACTTAAAAATTTGGAAAATTGAAAAATATACATCGAAGAAATGAAAAATCGAAAAATTGAGAAATTGTAAAATCGACAAATTGAGAAATCGAGATATTGAAAAAACTGAAAAATCTAAAAATTGAACAATCTAAAATTTAAAAATCGAAAAATTGAATATACCTAAGTAAAAACTCCAGAAATTGAAAAGTCGGATATCGATAAATCGAGAAACTGAAAAATCAATACATTTTAAAAATTGAAAATTTTAAAAACCGAAATCCGAAAAGTCTAAAAATCGAAAGACTGAGCGATTGAAACATCAAAATATCGAAAAATTGGGCAATCTAAAAATTGAAAAATTCTCAAAATTGAAATGTTGAAAAACCAAGAAATTTAAAAATCGAAAAGTCGAAAAATTTTTAAAATCGAATTTCAAGAAATCTAATCAAAAAATCCTAAAATCGAAAAACTGATAAATCCAAAACTTAAAAATTTGGAAAATTGAAAAATATACATCGAAGAAATGAAAAATCGAAAAATTGAGAAATTGTAAAATCGACAAATTGAGAAATCGAGATATTGAAAAACTGAAAAATCTAAAAATTGAACAATCTAAAATTTAAAAATCGAAAAATTGAATATACCTAAGTAAAAACTCCAGAAATTGAAAAGTCGGATATCGATAAATCGAGAAACTGAAAAATCAATACATTTTAAAAATTGAAAATTTTAAAAACCGAAATCCGAAAAGTCTAAAAATCGAAAGACTGAGCGATTGAAACATCAAAATATCGAAAAATTGGGCAATCTAAAAATTGAAAAATTCTCAAAATTGAAATGTTGAAAAACCAAGAAATTTAAAAATCGAAAAGTCGAAAAATTTTTAAAATCGAATTTCAAGAAATCTAATCAAAAAATCCTAAAATCGAAAAACTGATAAATCCAAAACTTAAAAATTTGGAAAATTGAAAAATATACATCGAAGAAATGAAAAATCGAAAAATTGAGAAATTGTAAAATCGACAAATTGAGAAATCGAGATATTGAAAAACTGAAAAATCTAAAAATTGAACAATCTAAAATTTAAAAATCGAAAAATTGAATATACCTAAGTAAAAACTCCAGAAATTGAAAAGTCGGATATCGATAAATCGAGAAACTGAAAAATCAATACATTTTAAAAATTGAAAATTTTAAAAACCGAAATCCGAAAAGTCTAAAAATCGAAAGACTGAGCGATTGAAACATCAAAATATCGAAAAATTGGGCAATCTAAAAATTGAAAAATTCTCAAAATTGAAATGTTGAAAAACCAAGAAATTTAAAAATCGAAAAGTCGAAAAATTTTTAAAATCGAATTTCAAGAAATCTAATCAAAAAATCCTAAAATCGAAAAACTGATAAATCCAAAACTTAAAAATTTGGAAAATTGAAAAATATACATCGAAGAAATGAAAAATCGAAAAATTGAGAAATTGTAAAATCGACAAATTGAGAAATCGAGATATTGAAAAACTGAAAAATCTAAAAATTGAACAATCTAAAATTTAAAAATCGAAAAATTTAATATACCTAAGTAAAAACTCCAGAAATTGAAAAGTCGGATATCGATAAATCGAGAAACTGAAAAATCAATACATTTTAAAAATTGAAAATTTTAAAAACCGAAATCCGAAAAGTCTAAAAATCGAAAGACTGAGCGATTGAAACATCAAAATATCGAAAAATTGGGCAATCTAAAAATTGAAAAATTCTCAAAATTGAAATGTTGAATAACCAAGAAATTTAAAAATCGAAAAGTCGACAAATTTTAAAAATCGAATTTCAAGAAATCAAATCAAAAGATCCTAAAATCGAAAAACTGAAAAATCCAAAACTTAAAAATTTGGAAAATTGAAAAATATACATCGAAGAAATGAAAAATCTAAAAATTGAGAAATTGTAAAATCGACAAATCGAGAAATTGAGAAATCGAGATATTGAAAAACTGAAAAATCTAAAAATTGAACAATCCAAAATCGAAAAACTGAGCGATTGAAACATCAAAATATCGAAAAATAGGGCAATCTAAAAATTGAAAAATTCTCAAAATTGAAATGTTGAATAACCAAGAAATTTAAAAATCGAAAAGTCGAAAAATTTTAAAAATCGAATTTCAAGAAATCAAATCAAAAAATCCTGAAATCGAAACACTGAAAAATCCAAAACATAAAAATTTGGAAAATTGAAAAACATACATCGAGGAAATGAAAAATCTAAAAATTGAGAAATCGTAAAATCGACAAATCGAGAAATTGAGAAATCGAGATATCAAAAAACTGAAAAATCTAAAAATTGAACAACCTTAAATTTAAAAATCGAAAAATTGAAAAATGGAATAAGTAAAAACTCCAGAAATTGAAAAGTCGGATATCGATAAATCGAGAAAATGTCCATCGAAGAAATGAAAAATCGAGAAATTGAGATATCGAGACATCGAAAACCAGAAAAATTGAAAAATCTAAAATTTAAAAATCGAAAAATTGAAAAATGAAAAAAGTAAAAACTAAAGAAATTGAAAACTCGAATATCGATAAATCGAAAAACTGAGAAATCAATTAATTTTAATAACTGAAAATTTTTAAATCGAAAAATCAAAAATTTTAAAAATCGAAAAACCGATATACCAAAAAATGGAATAAAAAATCCTAAAATCGAAAAATTGAAAAATGTAAAATTTAAAACATCGAAAAAGGAAAAATTAAACCGAAAAATCAAAAATTTGAAAGTTTGAAAAATTGAAAAATATGCATCGAAGAAATGAAAAACCGAAAAATCGGGAAATTAGGAAATCGTGATATCGAAAACCAGAAAATTGAAAAATGGAAAAAGTAAAAACTCCAAAAATTGAAAACTCGAAAATCGATAAATCGAGAAACTGAGAATTCAATTGATTTTAATAACTGAAAAATTTTAAATCGAAAAATCAAAAATTTTAAAAATCGAAAAACCGATATACCAAAAAATGGAATAAAAAACCCTAAAATCGAAAAATTGAAAAATGTAAAATTTAAAACATCGAAAAAGGAAAAATTAAACCGAAAAATCAAAAATATATAAGTTTGAAAAATTGAAAAATATGCATCGAAGAAATGAAAAACCGAAAAATCGGGAAATCGTGGTATCGAAAACTAGAAAAATTGAAAAATGGAAAAAGTAAAAACTCCAAAAATTGAAAACTCGAAAATCGATAAATCGTGAAACTGACAAATCAATAGATTTTAATAACTGAAAAATTTTAAATGGAAAAATCAAAAATTTTAAAAATCGAAAAACCGATATACCAAAAAATCGAATAAAAAATCCTAAAATCGAAAAATTGAAAAATGTAAAATTTAAAACATCGAAAAAGGAAAAATTAAACCAAAAAATCAAAAATTTAAAAATTTGAAAATTGAAAAATATGCGTCGAAGAAATGAAAAACCGAAAAATCTGGAAATTAAGAAATCGACATATCGAAAAACTGAAAAATGGAAAAACTTAAAAATTTAAAATTTAAAATTCGAAAAATTGAAAATACGAAAAATTGAAACTCCAGAAATTGAAAAGTCGAATATCGATAAATTGAGGAAAGTGAGAAATCAATAAATTCTAGTAAACCGAAAACCCTTAATACCAAAAATTCGAAAAATTGAAAGACCGAGCGATTGAAACATCAGAAAGTCTAAAAATTGGAAAATTTTAAAAATCAAAAAATCCCAAAATCGAAGTGTTGAAGAATCGAAAAATGTAAAATTTAAAACATTGAAAAATGGATAATCAACTGAAAAATCAAAAATTAAAAAACTGAAAAATTGAAAAACATTCATCGA